CAAAATAAAATTGAAATAAATTTGCATTTGACGCATTTACTGTCATGACTGTATTAACTTTGAAATCGGTAGACCATTTCAGAATTGCATTTAAATTAGAGATAGCAATTTTTTGATAGTGTATTTATGTTGTAATAAGGATATTTATTTATGAATACATCACACAAAAACTACAAGCTGATATAATCAGTGTCTTGCCTGTGTCTAATGTATACTTGCATCTTACAATCATCACTGGCCTGTCAACACTGAGGTTACCGTTGTGATCAAATTTCATTGAGTTGTCATATGTTCATTACTAAGACATTGAACAAATTAATGTCCATATTGTGATGTAATATTTTGTTTATTCAACAAGAATTGCTAACAGCCTAAAGCTGCAAGTTACTGAGCACTCCTGCACGAACTATACTACACACACATACTAGATGTAAATTTGTAAAATACAATATATGTACTTCATTACTTTTCAATAGTAAACATTTTTCTGCAATAAATGCGTTAATGTTAGTTTACTTTTTCGGTCCTAAAAAACAATATTTCATTGAATTTGCTTAAAAGTTGGAATAAAAGCTAAAAAAGGATGCATTTTTCATTGTGTCATTTTTATTTCATCTATGAAATTGTACTATGCAACTACAAAGTAGATACTTAAATGAAAGATGTGACTTGTTTTTATTTTTATACGCCCGTTTACCGTTATTACGGTATACCGTTGTCTGGCTGTCCGTCTGTCCATCTGTCCTTTCGTTGTCAACATGTCGGACAATAACTCAAAAACGCTTTAACCAATTTGCATGAAACCTCGATGAATTGTTTATATCTATTGACCTGAGCTCCCTTTCGATTTTATAAATTTTAGATTTTACGTTTCCGAGTTATGGGGTTGTATTCATTAAAAAAGGGGGATTTTCCAGTTTTCGGACATTAAGAGCAGTTTTCATGAAACTTTGGTGAATTGTTTGTATCTATTGACGTAAGCTCCCTTCCGATTTTTATAAATTTTAGATATTTCGTTTCCGAGTTTCGGGATTTTATTCATAAAAAGGGGGGATTTTCCAGTTTTCCGACAATAACTCAAAAGTGTTTTGAGCAGTTTTCATGAAACGTTGGTGACTGGTTTATATCTATTAAAATAACCTCCCTTAAGTTTTTTTTTATAAATTTCTGTTATAACACTGAGGAGTTATGGAACTTTATTCTCTGTAAATGCGACTGGATTATCATGCGCTCATGGGGCAGCTCTTTACTGAATTACAGTACAAACATAAATGAATATTCACCTCAAGGAAAGTTATTAGGAGTATTTGAGTGTTAGTGGCGTCAATGACTGTTGTGCGTTAAACAGTCAGTTCTTAGGAATTGAAATATATATACCCGTGTTTATTGGCAGGAGGGTGTTTTTATGTTTTCTTTTAATGAAAATCAGAATATCCCTACCAACATACCGTGCCTGTTTGAATTTTAAGTTATTGTCCAACTTCAGCTTTTCATACGAAATTAAAACACAAAAATACACAAAGAACAAATATGTCAATGTGAGCTATAATGATTCAGATACTTGAATCTCTATCACATGCAGTTGAAAGATATATACCCGTGTATATTGGCAGGAGGGTGTTTTTATGTTTTCTTTTAATGAAAATCAGAATATCCTTACCAACATACCGTGCCTGTTTGAATTTTAAGTTATTATCCAACTTCAGCTTTTCATACGAAATTAAAGCACAAAAATACACAAAGAACAAATATGTCAATGTGAGCTATAATGATTCAGATACTTAAATCCCTATCACATGCAGTTGAAAGTGCACATTGTTATGCCATTACTTGTTATTTGTTGTCGTAAACCTGTTTGATATTCCTCCTCTGAAACCAACAAATCAATTTCAACCAAAGGACAAGTTATGAGGCCCCTTGAATTCAAAAATCATAAAGTATTATATAAATATATCAAATTACAACCTTCAGTCATTCAAAAGACATTTGTTTCATCTCTAATCCAGCTTGACACAAACAGGAATTTTGCTTCAAGATGTCTTATGAAAGGGTTAAAATTGTTTAATATCTTTTGAAATGCAAGTTGTTTATTTTGAGACTCACCCAAATGCATTATTAGCATAAATAAAAACCTCACAATAATTTGTGAATTAACATTAAATAATTTTACTAAAAACTATGTGTAAAATGTTAATTTAATGTCAATATGTCAATAGCAACTTGTTTAAGACAATAATTGACAACAAAACTGACTTTTCGGAAATGAAGTTATGTTCCTTATTCATTTAACGGTTAAATTGTCAAAAATTTTGAAAGAATTGAAAATGTTTACTATTTTTGCGAATACAGGGGTCATATAATGGCTCTTATCATACCTCCTCTGGGCTGAATGATCCCAAGGGTATCTAGTAAAAAGATTATTTTTTTCTGGTGTTGATAATAAAAGAATATACATGTAAGAGTAAAATAATAAATTGAGTTAAATCTTGTAACCATAATAGAAAAAATACCAATATAACCAAAACAGATTTTGAAACCCTTTTTAATAGCAATGACTCATCTCATTTCCAGGGAGATTACTTATTAGATACACCCCTTAGTCATAGTCTATTAACATCAACAATTTTGTGTATTAGTTAACATGTAAAAATTGTGATAAGGTCGGTTTAAAGTGAACCACTAATGGTTAATCAATGATATATGAGATGCAGTGGTATAAGCATTTGCACGTCTCATTTCAATAGAGATTACAAGTATATGGTAATGTTCCTTCATCATGGTGCATTGACTTTGAAATCTTTGCATGATTTACATGTTTAAGTTTGAGTTTTGGTCAGTTTAAAGGGAACTACTTATGATAAATCTATGATATTTGGTATGCAGTTGTATTTCTAGGAAGGTTACATTGTATTACGCCCTGCACCTTCAGTCATGGTAAATTTGCTGAAGATTTTGTATATAATTATAGTTGACATGTTAAAGTATTGCACTTTTTATTTCAATATTTGCCTTAAACTATCAGACTTTCATAAAGACTATACATCCCTGTATCTACAGCTTATTTACTTTGATTTGCTTTTTTTTTATGAAAATTACTAAGATCGATTACTGTTGGATTTATTACCAATTAATGACAAAACTGAAAACGGTATACATTATCAGCTAGATAAGATTTACTAAAAAGTCAAATAGTCGAAATCCTAAATCGATTCCTTTAAGCAGTTGTTTGCCCATATACATGACGATATTTCTGCGTTACCTTTAGGAAAACCTTTAGTATATAGAAAGAAGCTATTAACTGACAATTGGATCAATAATAAAGTCAACGTCACCAAAATCAACAAAAGTCTGCAGCTTTTAGGAATTACTAAAAATCTTTTTGACCAGCAAACTAATATGAAAATAAAAAGATGTGATATGATTTCCAATGAGACAACTTCTCCACCAGAGACCAAATGATGTAAAAGTAAGCAACAACTATAGTTCACCGTACGGCCTTCAACAATTAGTATAACCAATACCGCATAGCAAGCTATAAAAGAACCCGAATTGAAAAAAATGTAAAACAATTGAAACGAAACAAGTAATGACCTGGTTTATGAACAAAATCGAAAAACAGAACAGATGACAAACACTCCACTACAGGCCCCTGACTTGAAAGAACGACATATCGAATGTGGCGGGATTAAACAAGTTTACGGGTGCCCAATCATTCCCTAACTAGGGACATCACAACATAAGAACAAACTATAAAAATCAGAAGGTTTGAGTGTTCCTGATGAAGGTGAATCCAGAAAAGCGCTTCAGACTCGTGTAATTAATGCAGTATTGTTTTAATTTTTTTTAAAGGACTTTACTCATAAGATAGATACAAATAGCAAACACAAAAGACACTAAGGACACATCGCAGAGAATGCAGTTACTGACAGCAAGTTCAAAGCCGATCACAATTCATAAAAAAATATGTATCTAAGACTGAAATATCAATCAGTACACATCCAACATCTAATGGATTTAGTTTAAAGACGTCATTAAAAGTCAGAGAAAAAAACATGACCTTGTACAATGTCAAAATATATATATCGACAGAATGTAGGACCGTGAATGTACTGAAATATTTGTATAGCAATTACCATTTTTGTCTTCATTTTTAGCTATTATCTGGAAAATTATTATACACAAAGAGAAATGTACATACTAAAAATACTAGATAGACTAGATGTACAAAGTTCATTGCCATAATCTTCTGGATGTATCTTCCATTTTTGCATTTTGGCTGTTATGATATAATAAAACCAAAAATAAATATGGGAAATACATGTAGATAAAATTTGGCCCTAATAGTCCTAGAAGATATGTCCTATTTTCGGTGCAAAATATAGTTAGCATGCATTTTGTGTCCGGGGATACAGGGACACGTATGTGTGGCTGAAACAAATCAGTACTTATCTGAACACAACGTTATATTTATATATAAGAATTAAATAAATAGTGAACACAAGTGGATTCAGTGCTATTTCCTATATAAAACTTAAAGAAACAGGGGATACAGGCGGACACAACTGAACACAGTGCTATTTCTATGTGAAAATATAAAAACTGGTGATTACAGGCGGACACAGTGCTATTTTTATATAAAACTTTAAGAAACAGGGGGCTACATGCATTGTGTCCGTGTGTCCGGCTACAAAATGCATGCCAACTATTTTTTGCACCGGAACCTTGCCACTAATGAATCCAAGGTCACTCAGCGATTTGACACAACTTCAGGCTCTTGGCGATTAAGACTTTAGATCTTGTATATAGACTGTCTATTGTAGAAAACAGTATGCTGACCATTAAATGCCTATTGATGTTTGTGTCATTGAAAGGCTGTTTTATTAAAGCTCTATCCCACAACGACTTTATACTCATATAAACAGAAGGTGATGGGGAACTTACATTAATAAAACATATGGCATTTAAGAAAAATGAAAAGAAAAAAAAAAAATATAAGAGGGTTTCAATAGACAAATGTTTTGTTTTCCAAATGTCATGCTCTAAATCGTTTCTAGCCCAGGTAATATATTTAACAGATCATACCAAAGATCTCCTTTAAGAAACAAAAAAACAAAACAAAGATAAAGACACGGATAAACGCTGATGGCATTCTGACTTGCCATAGGACCATTTACGTGTAGTGGTTTGTTAGTATGCGACACTCATTCTGTTTTTTTCGATCAAGTTTAAAAACAACATGTACATACAAGATTACACAGTAAAAAACATCATCATGGTTATGTCCTTTGTATGTAAAGAACCAGTTGAATGTAATATACTGCTATACTTGGAAACTCGATGTATTCAAATGCTGGACAGGATTAAGAAATGCAAAGCCTTCAGGAATATTTGGCCATACAATTTTCATTGACGACTGTAGTGTCAAGATTTACATTATTGCAATCTTTGATTCTGACTATTATGAAAGAAGTGTGCCAATTTTGTCTGTTTTTGTCTTCCTATGGGTGCTTTTCGGGAAAAAATTCGATGTTAACCTAGTATAGTCAACGGTGGAATCCAGTAATCGTCACATCAATATCAAGTCTCAGACATGGGCTGAACTTAGTCCCTTTATTGGTATGACGATCAAAGGTAAAACTGCAGTATGACGCAAGTATTTTATTTCATATGCACCATAAAATGAAGCTCAAGTCTTGTATCCAATATATTTCATTTTCATTCCATTTGCACTTCTTTATAACAGTAAACGGTATCAATTCTATTGCACCAGATCGGAATTTCGACAAAATAACAATTTTGCTGCCATGAATGAATTATAGATAAAAACATAAGGAAAAAAAACATCATTATTGCTCAACGTGCCTTTCATTCTCAATATATACTTCAGCTGAAACAAAAATAGCTTTGAGAAGGTATGAAAAAAACACTTTTTGATCATCAAATGAAACTAAAAATAACCTTATTCCGTCTTTTAAAGTTCAGAAATCCCATGATAACCCATTTTTGTAGCTATTTCGCTAGGCGTTTGACCATAATTATCTTTTTTTTGTGCTAGACTAGGAGATTTTTCCAGCAATATTCGTATTATGTCTTTATGTCCACTCTTACAAGCAGCATGTAAAGGGGATCGTAGTTCATCATCGCAAAGAGATGTATTAGCATCGTACATTAAGAGCAACTTGACTATTTCTGTATTGCCATCTTCACTAGCAATATATAAAGATGAAGCTCCAAGATTGTCAGTTTCATCAATGTTTGCATTTTTCTGTAGAAGAAGGGATACAATTGCAATATTTCCGTCTCTACAGGCAGCGTGCAATGGCGATCTGCCCCATTTGTTACGAACTGATATATTAGCCCCATTTTCAAGAAGCATACTTACAACTTCTTTATAACCTTTAAGGCAAGAAATGTACAGGGGAGAATACTTGTTCCTGTCATTTCGCATATTGATATTCAGTTTTTTTGTTTTCAGCAATTCTTTCGCAGTCTTAGTTTGTCCCTCTTTGCAACACAGGTATAAAGCAGACCGACCATATATGTCAACACTATTTACATCGGCTTCGTTGCACAGTAAAGCACGAACAATGTTAGTATATCCATTTTCGCTTGCTACATGTAATGGTGATTTGCCATTTTCGCCGCATTGATTCACTGTTCTTTTAATTTTCAAAAGTGACTTTACTACGTCGTCGAATCCTCCTTTGCAACCCATGTACAAAGGTGACCGTCCATTCCAATCAACTTTTCCAACATCTGCGCCATTTCGCATCAAGTTTAAGACTATTGAATTATACCCTTGACTTGCAGAGATTAAAATCGGTGATCTTCCTTCATTGTCGCATTTGTTAACAAGTGCTCCCTTTTTTATTAACAACTTGACAACATTTATTTGATTAGAATCACAAGCTGCATAAAGAGGTGTCCGTCCTTGTTTATCACTTATCTCGAAGTCTGCGCCATTCTCGATTAAAATTTTCACTCCTGTCATACTACCCTTAGCGGCGGCTACGAATAAAGGAGTCCTTCCTAAATTGTCGAGCTTGTTCATTTCTTCATTTGTTTCACCCTGTTTATGTGTGTTGATATCTATTTCCAACAATTCTTTCAAAGTGCTTGTATGACGTCCTTCTGATGCAACATGAAGCGGTGTTATTCCATCCTTGTCACAAAGTGTACGGTCAATTTTTTCGCGAAGAAGTTTTATGATAGTAAAATTTCCCTCTTGACACGCGGCATGCAACGCAGAACGTCCTTTATGGTCACAAATGGATGGATCAATATTTTCATCGTCTAGAATGCGTTTAACAATCTTAACATTATCAAATAAAGCGGCCACATATAAAGCTGACCTGCCTGAAAAATCCCTTTCGTTGATATCACAGTTCATTTCAAGCAACAAATTAACTATATCATCATGACCTTCTAAAATGGATTCAATGAGTGGAATTTTCACCGACGTAATTGTATAACTATGCTTCTTTTGAAGGTTAATGTAATACATATCATCACCAGTTACTTTATCCATCAATCTATGTTCTCGTAATTCAACAATAGTTACATCTTGATCCATATTTTTGGATACTTTCGTTAAAAGATCCGTTATTTTTGGCTTTCTGTCGTTACAATATTCGATAAACAATAATCGATACTTTTCGCTGTGGAGTTGTTTGTTATGGAGGAAACTGTAAGTGTCACCTGCTTCCAAATCTTTGATTAATCTATCAAAATATCTCTTCTGTTTATCTGGGTTTATGTAGATAACGTTGCTTTGTGATTTAAATTCATCTGACTCTAACTGGTATCTGTCAGCTATAAACTCACTGGAAGCATGGTTGAGGAAACAATCAAAGAAACACTGGCCACACAATGATGCAGCTACATCATATATTTTAGGATGAATGATATTATATTTGTTCCCAGTTTTCGAAAGATATGTTCTCTCTAAAATGGAAATAGTTTCTTTAATGCGCTTTCTGGAAGAATCTTTTAGGAAGTCAATACTAAACTCAGAACAAACATTAATTACTGCCTTAGAGACTTCACCCTGGAAGTTTTCAATGTTTAAATCAAGCCAGTCTTCTTTCATGCAATTGTGTAACAAAATAAGTAAAGTCATTACGCAAAATTGTGTAGTATGTTGATCTCTCATCTTTATGAGATCGTCTCTTATGCTCTGTATTGGATCTTCAACAAATTTTAATAATTGATCTGCTGATTTCCCATGTGACAGTTTGCACATTAAAGGAAAACTAAACTCATCCGAAATTGTACTTTCAGTGTCAGGCAAAACATATTTTTTCATTATCAGACTCCTGTCTTCTTCTGATAATGGATAGTCACATAAAAAACATGAATATTTTTTATATGACTCGAGTCGTGAAAAAGAAGGCTCTTCGAAGATGTTTGCATTGCATGCCATTAATACCTTTACAGGTCCTTTTCTTGTTTTCCAATTTCTACTTTGTTTATTAGATTGAATTAATTTTTCAAAGAAATTAACATGTTCTTGCAATGACCATAAATCGATGTATGGCTGGCATATTTTATCTCTGCCGCAAAAGTCGTCAATAACAAAAACCTGGTGTTGTTTTTGACAAAATGAAGTTTTGAGGGTTGCAGGTTCTAAAACAACGGGAACAATTGTGTATCCCTCATCTTTCTTTAGCTTCAATGCAATATGTCTGATAATGGATGATTTTCCCTCACCGGTACCTCCCACTAAAAGTATACAATTTGATTTTTTAATCTTTTCCATTACATGCTTGGAAGTATTTGTTTCAACGAAATATTTGTTATCACGACTCCATTCTTGTATGTATTTGTTGATCAGGTCTGCAAAAAAAGTGTACACATTATATATTTTCATGTATATAATATAATGTCAGTACGTAAAAACTTGTGTTATAGAAATGAATTATATTTGAATAATGATGCGTGATGATAAATTAATGCACATTCAGAAATTAATTTTCACACTGTAGGCCATTATTTCAGAGACTTTTGACATACAAAACATTAGACAAGTGAAATATTTTGTTTCAATCTTTGATCTTATCGTTTGTTAGGCTTAACGTTGAATACCTACCATTTCTAATTCATAGTACTAGACATTTTATGGAAAAGAAGTTGTTATAAAATCTATCTTTTCTTTACTACTCCCTTGTTAACTTTTTGTTAATATAGTAAGCCTTAGTAAACGTACACAAAATAATTTTCAGTTGTAAAAAGTGTCAAGAAAATGAACTAAGATAAATACTTACCCTTGTCGTCTTGGGGAGTATAATCGTTGTCTGTACTTTCTGCTTTACTACTTGCAGTGGACGTTGTGTCATTTCCGTCGCGTACTGGTACCGCTAATGTCATTCCTATAAGAAAAGACACAAAATCCATTTAAGTGTAATTCAATTACAGTTCATTTGTTGTAAAAAGCTTTGATATTAGATAATGTCTAGAATCTTGATGATAACTAAACTATGACGATAAGGATAAAGATATGTGTTTACACTTTTTATTTTTATCCAAACTTTGACAGGAAAACCCAAACATTACCAAAATATCGGTTAGAAATTCGCACTAACATACTGATCTTCTTTTTTTGATATTCCTTAAGTGGCGATTTGAATCTCAAAAAATGCAATGGACACTTATATTTTATTCAATGCATTAATAAATGCTAAAATACAAATCGTTAGTGAAGATTTTGAATAATGGAGAAACTATACATAATAGTTTTCATATCTAGAAAGACGTAAGTTTACATGGTTATAGACCTGTATACATGAACAAGTCATATCGTTAACAATTTGTCAAATGGTGTAACAGTACAATATAATAAAGAACTGTAAAAGTCATCAGATCGGTTCAGAACACAAAAGCAAGAAACATAAAGACTAAAGGCACAAAGTAATGATCTAGGAGTACTCGCAGTTACTGTAAGCTAGACTTAATACGAAGTCATTAAAAACTCATAAATGAAAATTTTATCTCAGACTACAGCATCAATCAGTACCGGTACACATCCAACGTATTTAATATAAAGATGTCATAAAAGGTCTACGAAAAGCATGATTTTGTGCAATGCCAGAATGTAAGTACATAATAGCAAGTCCTTTCTTAATCTAGTAGTTTTAACATTGCTTCACGAGGTTGTGGTTACTCCTTATGCGATCTATAACAGTGATCATCTCAAATTTGTTAAGTTTCATGTGCATGACTTTTGGACATATAAAGCCCGACTGACAAAGACTTTTTTTTTTTTTTTTAATTGTGTAACACTTTCCGAATCGAAAAAAAGTATTCATTCAATCTGCAATGAACAATTTATTCGGATTCAGTTGTCACTTATTACACACTCAGTTTACATAAAGTATAATTCTATAGCCACTGAAGTCACCTTTCATTGAAGTGTCGTCACATTTTTTTTCAGTAGTGTCATCTGTTTTGTCCATCATTTCATATTCTAAAAATCTTCCTGTAAATGTAAATGAAATTAAAAACTTGTTTAAATGATATCGGAATATTATATAAAACGTATCGCTTCGTAATAAGAGAAAGAGCCCAAAAATGCCAAGTGGAAAAGATATGTGTTTTTCCATACCAACTAACAGTGACAGTAGACAGAGCTGTCTAAAATTGAATATATGAAAATAAGAATGTATTGTGTGATTGCCAATGAGACAACTCTCCACCAGTTTTCATGATACAATATTCATTTTCAAATTTCAAAAAAATCATCAAATTTATAATAAAAGGTTTACATGTACTTACTGCAATAGTCACGTAAGGTAATGCAACATTTTTCCATAAAATAGGAAATTAATGCACCTAAAACATTAAAAAAATATAAAATGATAAAATGTATATTGAAATTAATTTTAAAAGTCACATAACCATGTTTTGTCAATCCAAAACTGTTGAAAATACATAATAACAATAAAGGGTATCTTACTTTTACAGAAGGTTATCAGCACATGGTGGATGGATATAAAGAATCGTAATAAAAATATAGTTGAAACACCTTTTTACTCATCCAAAGGTGTGGCCGTGAATGGAAATAACAAACAAATCATAGGGAATGCGCAATAAATAAAATATCATTGATTGTAAAAACTATGATATGAAAATCATGTTCTTAACTGTTACAAAACATACCCAAGACACTCAGAACAATTGCCCCAACAATGAGATATGCCTTGTTTTTCATGGCATCCGCCCAAATGTCTGAAATTGAAAAAAAACGCATTCTTTCTACAAAATTTAAACCTAAATGTTTAGGCATTTGCCTTTAATATAATTTGATATAGGCATACTCCGTCTGAACAAAATATGCCTGATACGAAAAGAGAAAAAAAGTCAATGAGAATAGGAGGCTCATCATGCATAGCATATGTAACTTCTCTCCATAATAGAGATTTATAAACATAGAGCAGGACCCTGTATTATATCTGCATTTTACGAATAAAGGAACAAATCGGTCGCCCAAAACATATTGTCAATTTAAACACCAAGATGTTAGTCATTTTGAAAAAAAATTGTTAAATAAGAGGGCTGTTAAAGTAATACATGTACTATGACCTTCCCGATATCATAACAAGATGTCTTAAGAAAAAAACCGATCTAAAAATTTGATTGTCAAAAAATATACATCTACATTACTGAACACAAATACACAAATGCGTATAGCTGGGAAATGATAGTATTGATTGTAACCATTATAATTGATTTATTATATTACATGCATGTAATTTACTTAGGATTTTAATATGAAACACAATTAATAGACTGTGTTTTTTTTTAATTTGTCTCAAAGTTAAGAACAAAAAAAATAATTGTTCAAATGAAGAAGAAATACACGTTTAAATACCAAAATGATTACATTTGAGTATATGTGTTCTAACAAATTGTGCTATTTTTTAACAATGCAAATCTGATTCAAATAAGCCCTAAAATAGCTATTTTATGTTATTCGTGTTCCCGGTTTTTACGATTCATATATGTAAGGAATTTTGTTGAAAGAAGTTGCATTGTTCCTTTGATAGACTGGGCAATAAACGTTGTTTTTAAGAACACTTATACAGTTAGAAGCATTTTAGCAAGCAGTGAACAGTGAGCTATTTTTTGTGTTTAATTCTAAAAGAACATAGAAAAAGCATGCAGATAATCCGAAATTCCTTCTTTATTGCTTTTCTTTTGTTATACATAATTTCAAATGGTTGAATACCCGATTCCTTTTTCATGAAAAATCCGATTCCTTTATGCCTCTTGACATTTGAATGTCTAGTGTGTCTACTTTTAAGCTTTTACCTGATCATACTACTAGCATTAATTCTTTTAACTGACTCATTGATTTACATCGAATTATTCATTTAGTATATTTTTTCTTTCTTTGGTATCGGTATATTGTTGTTTTACGAACGTTGCAATCACTCATTGAAATAGGTCTTGATTTGAAAAGTTGCTACAACTGAAACATCTTTATATGAAAGCACATGTTAGGGACTTAAACTTTGCGTAACTAAACATCAATGTTTTTCATCAGTCAATATTTCTTATATATTTCATAGCATAATACGTTTGTCATAATGGATAGAAACTGAATACAAATAGACTCAGTTAATACTGTCTATAAACTTTTATTTCATTTTTCCCTACATTAATTACCTTTCACAGTTGTTCTTTCTTCAGACATCATTTTTATATCAAGATCCGTCCTTTGTAAATGTACCATTCTACACAAGTGTACAAAAAAGTAAAACTTAAATCATTTTAAAAACCTCTTAGATGATATGATTTGTATGCGCACATATAAAAATATCATTATGTTATGACGCACTGAAAAACTCTGTATTAGAGGGAAGTCGCTATTTTTCTGTGGCGTGGGTGTTAAGAGGCGTGGGCGTTTTATTTCTTTTTTTTTCCTTCTTTGTGTTTTCCTTTTTTCTATTATTCTTTTTATTGTCTTTTTTATTCATGTCTAATGTTTGTCGTCTTTTTATAAAAAAAACCGGATATGCAGTATCCATCCATGACACAAAATCAATATATGCACAGTAAAAATGCAAAGGAAGAGCGCTTTTATTGCTGTTCTCCATCTCCAAGTCACAGTGAGGTATTCAACACAGAGCAAAAAAAAAAAAACAACGAAAAACTCTTACCTCACTGCAAGTTTAAGACGGCCCCTAGCACTGGTTTGAGCGGAATTCTTTGCAAAATGATTCGGATAGACTTTGTAAGATTTAACAAGATTTGTTTGTTTATATCAAGTGTCGGTTTAAGACAAGCCAGATAAATATGAAGATTAAAAGCTCATGTATTCTCTTAATTGATTTTCTTCAGCTTTGTCATTGTTAAATTTCATATCATGAGAAAGCCACATAATTCGAAATTATGATATCCCCGTTTTCCCCGTCTCAAACAAAAGTTAGAAAAGCCTTAATTTCATGATATCATACCAAACACTCATTTCATTTGAGGCATGTTTGACGTAATCTTAACATGTGTTTGTAGCATGAAAAATCTCTCCAAAGCCATATAAACAAACTTACATCGCAATATAAACTGAGGAGACACGTCACAGCCCCTGACAGCGAATAAATAAAATTAACAGTATTAATAGTATTTTCGTTAGATTTGCTTACATTGACGTGTTAATCACTGGACAGTGAAAGTTTCCAGTCCAGTCAGATCTGCCAATACAATTGTAATCTGGAAAAAAAAAGACATAATTTTGATATTTTGCCTTTTGTATGTGTGAACAAAATGATAAATATTGAATTCATGTGGAGCAGGATCTGCTTACCATTCCGGAGCACATGAGATCACCCCAAGTGTTTAGTGGGGTTCGTGTTGCTCAGTCTTTTGTTTTCTATGTTGTGTTTTGTGTACTATTGTTTGCCTGTTGGTCTTTTCTTTTTAGCCATGGCGTTGTCAGTTTATTTTCGACTTATGAGTTTGAATGTCCTTCTGGTATCTTTCGCCTCTCTTTTAAAAAGAAAACCTAAATATTATAAATCAACAGTACAACTCTATCGATTAATTCCTTTTCCCTTTTTCTATAGCACTCTCCCTACTAAATAAGTACAACACATTATCCATCATACTTTATATACTCGTGAATAAAAAAAAGCATTAAAAATTGTCAAATGCATTTGAATTCCCGAAATGTTACAGACACTAATGGCACATTTTAAGAAATGTTTGAAATATCAACACATTTAAACAAACTTTAAAAACAATACATATACCATGTATACTATGAGTAACTTTAAGTAGACTGTCACATTTCAAAATTTTAACATTCTAATGCCATATAAGCGTATCTAAATTGCATGATTTTCATGCGAAAATTATGTGTTTTTTAAATAACTTGCATCAAGTACGCGCTTGGCTAAGAGTTTAGAATACCAAAAGAATAATTTTAACACGATGAAACGTTTGACGGCATAAAAACCAAAAGGGCCTAAATACAACAACCAAAATCGGATACGGTCAATTTGGGAAAAGGAGACGCGACACTAGCTTTAGGTCACGAACTGGAAATTTAGAAAGAAAAAAAAACAAACAATTTGACAATATCATAGCAATGGGTACTCGCGAAGTGTATTCTTACAGATTAAGGATCCACCCTCAGTGTAACGACCAAGTGGTATTAAAATAATTGATATGATTTCTAAACGCACAGCATATGTTTTCTAGAACAACCTTCACCACGTAATCTCGTGACTAAAGTGTAAATCACCATCAATATAAAACGTTGAAACATAAAGATCCTATTAATACCATCCTCATCCGTCCTTGTAAATGCAAAACTCTGGATTCTCTTTGATATTTACCTGAGAGATCATAAAAGACAAATCTAACAAGACTTTCAAGACTTTCAAAGGTGTTTGCGAAAAATGAAACAAAATAAAAGATTTTTTATGTAGACGAGTAACAAATTGAATTTGGAAATTTGACCGAATGAATGAAAAATCAGTGCACATCTGTCTAGTGGCGAAAAACACGCATATCGAGTTACTTAGATGAAAAAGAATAAGTATATTAATAACATGAATAATAATTATGATGTCAATTTCATAAATTCAAGGATTATAACTAGAAAACAACCTTAAACATGATTCGTGATTTCCCATGTATATAAATTAAAACAGATTTAATAATCTTTATCCTTAAATTAAATTCTTAAATACACAGACATGGCTCTGATCCTTGGCGGTTCAGCGAACAATAATACATGAAATGCACAATGCTATTAATCGAAAACAAAGGTGAAAGATTCAAATTGTAAAATCAGTCGTTGGACGTTAAATAGTAACCAATCAATAAACGACGATATAATACAATCAATGTGTTTCTATCAATCATTTAATGATAATAAAAGACTTTTGAATGTAAAAGTATGATAGAAATACCTTTAATTTATTGTAATTACATATTTTTTTTATCAAATGATAATTTTTATAAAGTGCTCCTAGTTATTAGTAACCGTCAGTTCATTGCGATATTTCATTGCTCTTTTACATATCCGAAAAAAATAATAAAGGAAAAATAAATGTTCCCATGGGAAAAATATATGTTCCCATGGGAAGAATAAATGTTCCAAGGGGAAAAAGATGTTCCCATGGGAAGAAACTATTTACTAATGTTCCCATGGGAAATTGTAGTTCCGTTGGGAACTTTAAAATTCTCATTGGAATAGAACTTTTTCCCATGGGAATTTTTTAATTTCCCATGGAAAATGTACTTTTAATCAGCCTTAGTGACAACGGTGACACCAGTGACAACAATGACATGCATATGTTGGGACATATGGGGAAATTATTTTTTTTTAATTATCTATCACTTGGCCAAAAAGTGTTTTTGTTATCTCGTAAAACAACAAAGTCAGATTTGCCAATTCTGGAATGGCAAATTTGTCCCGCACAGTGTTCTAATCAAACAAAACTTAAGTAAGCATTACTGTTTGCAGAGTTCAGTTATGAATCTATAGGATTTTTTCATTTTTAATTGTATCTATATAAACGCTTTGTGTGTTCTACATACCTGGTGATAAGTGAAACCCGATTTTACATAATTTGTAGTAACACGAACAGTCTTCGTATTCAGGGTTACATAAACACCCCTGACTTGGTTTATGTACAAAATCATAACCTTTTGTATAGTCACATCGACAACTGCTGTCAGATGTAGAGTTACCATTGAAAACAACGACTTGTCCTTCTCCATTACAACTTGATTTTACAAATACACATTCGCTACTTCCGTTTGGCCAAAACTTGAAAGGCTGAAAATATTTTGGGTCGCATGGTTTTCTATTTAGTGCTCCTTCTATTACAAACTTAAATCCTAAAATCAAAAAGGAGGAACAGTAAATACATGTTAAAGTTTTTAAAATCCTTTAAAATTAGCATATAATTTTCTCCTAGAAAACCCCGATTACAAAATATATCTTTTAAAAACGTAAACTCAATATACATGTACACATGTACAATATTGGGTATGGCCTATATATGATGTTCCTGGTACTTCTTCGTAAATAAAATTTTAAAACATCAGGATGATTGTGTTAAATCTTTGTAAATGATCAGACATGTGTATCAAAAAGGATGTAAAAGAGACGGTTGATTGATTGTTGGTTGCTTAAAGTACAGGACAAATATTTTGTGCACATTTAAGACGAAAACAAATTACCAACTAAATTACAATAGGTAGGTTCTACAAAGTGAGTACCGCAATCAAGAGCGCGGGATAGCCGTTAAAAATTATAGTATGTTAAATAGACTCACTGGCTTTTATCAGAAATTTTGCTTTCTACGAACAATCAAGGAGTTGTTCACACAACGGTTCTTAAACTGTGCAGAGCGTGGCACAATATCCGGCGCAGAGCTCACATTCGTTCATTACTTATTCGTATAACTACACTGAATTTAGCGAGTATACGAAACGGAAAAGAGCGCTGTACATAGATTGAGCGTGTCACTTACACGACACAAGACATCCGATTCAACATCCCCATTCCGGTCAGACGTTACTACATATCCATACATCCTTCAAGCTAAATGGACGCCAGACTTTAGCATAGATGTCCATATTTCTATACTCCAGTTATTCCTTGAGGTTACCAATTGAAGGAATGGTTCTTTTATAATTATCGTAAAACGTTTAATACCGATGATCGATCACATGCCACATTTATCTGGTAATATGGATGTCGGGTAAGCTCGATGCAAAATGTTTTGGGAACCATTCGTCAATAAGAAACCTGTTTTTGATTGTTAGTTTGTTTGGGTTTTTTTTTTCTTTATCATGACAAGCTTGGTTACAATTTTTGTTAAATCTGAACATATCATTTCTCTGAAAACAAAAACAAAGTTTGCTTTCATTATTAATTTTCTGTTTGCACAAATTTTGTGTAAAAAGCCAAAATAATACTAAAATAATGTGTGTTGTGTAACATTACCAATTTTTGAACACATGTTCATGTTTGAGGTTTTTGAGACGTTTAGATTCAAAAACATACAATACCGAAAATCAAATTATCATATATATGTTGGTTTGTAGCCGCCTTGGAACTCAAACCAAACATATATCATTTTAGCTAGCCTTTGCAAAGGGTAATTATTCTAAACTGAAAGTTTTATATAGATATAATAGTATCTTTCTTTGACTATAACATATATTCAATAGAACCTTAACAACCTTACATTCAATTTATTAATATTTACAAGAATGCACTAATACGTCAAATAGGATTAATATACATTAATAAGTTAATCAGTTTAATGTACAAAGTGTAATTTAGACAATTAGTTTTCTAAAATTAAATACAAAATAAACCTGGTCTTTCAGCTTCTATGTCTTCTCTGCAATTTTCCACATATTTTTTACTGTTGTCATCTAGTAGACAGTAGTAGTGTAAAGTCTTATTGCAGAACTGGTTTCCTTTGAACTTCCATTGTGATAAATGCGGGCACATCATATTGTATGACACACTACGTCTTATCATCACTAGAGTCTATGAAAATAAGGAGGGTAGTAAAACATATTGTGATACTATAAAAGATTCTTGCCTCTGATATGATAAGAGAAAAATAAATCGAAGGGCACCAAAAAAAAAATATGAAAAACAATACTGTCAAATCTTAAACAAGTTATCTTTATGTGATTTGAAAGCATTTTTGTCTTTAGAATTTCCCCTTTCCCATTAAGTTAGCCATTAATTATATCATAATGATCTTTTAGTGATGAATCTACTAAATTTTGAACTCTTAACATTTGATAACTTTTTCATTTAAATACATATATATAAGAATAAGAAGATGGGATATAATTTCTAATGAGACAACTCTCCACCAGAGACCAAATGATATGATAGTAGTGAACATCTACAGGTCACCGTATGGCCTTTAACAATGGGCAAAACCTATATCGCATTGTTAGCTATAAAAAGCCCCATAATGACCACCGTTTTTAACAATTCAAACAAGAAAATTAACGGTCTGATCGATGGACAAAACAATGAACGATATTTTAGAATTAAATTTACAGTTCCAGTCTAAAATATCAACATACCCTATATATCTCAAATAACTTACGTGTATAGATATTATCCACAGAAGCATGGTGGATAAGATAACCAAATTAATTAGCTCGACCACAAAACCGTATTTATATTTCAAATGGGTGTGTTGTAAATAGCTCTCCAATAAACTTTCAATTTAAAACTACAATGTGCGGTATACTGCTTTTGTTATTTCATTTTTATGCATGAGGACCATTGAACACATTCAAACAAAACTTAATAAATACAAATAAAACAAAAGTCATGTCAGTCAAACGCAGTGACTATGCGCCTTTCTTTTTACAATGTTATTTTTTAAAACTAAATATACTAGTTAAATACTGCATTCAATTAAAGGTCTTGCACGCAAATGTAATTAAGTGCATGTGTATATTATGTCTATAAATATGCATTATGAGAACCTTTTTAAATTAATATAAAATGAAACTTGAAATAATTTATAATTGTCATAAGGCGTGATACTTTTCCAAATAAATTGCTAGTATTCAAAAGGTTTGTAGTCTCACGTGTGGAAATAAGTATGTTGTTTGTATAACTGAAGTATTGAAATATATTAGGAAACTTATCAATAAAAACAGCTTTGCTTATGGGACATTAATTCATTGATAAATTAGATTTAATAATATGAAATTTCTCAACACTGTGAACAAGGAAACTTTTTCGTGGGTCCCATTGAAGGGAATGATTTTAATATTTGGTCTAGGAATGATCAGTTATGCTCCGGTATACATGCTGCCGCAATCAATTGCATGCAACGACGCAGGTTCAGACCCGGTATTGGTCTTGTTAAATAATATATCATGAGTCCTAATACGTTAATCTTACGGTATTGGCATTAAGCTAGCAAGTGAGTAAACCTACGGGTAGGGAACTTGGTATTCATCATCAGTGATTGTATATAAGGCACTGTAATGTATCTGGTAAAGAAAGCAATGTATGACTTTGTAATGAAGAAAATGAACGTATATAGAAAAGATGGGACACACTTATCAAAGCTTGCCAAAAAAAATATACATATATATTCAAACAATTTACAAGGTGCACACGAAAGGTTCCTGACACCCGGTGGACAACTTATTGTCCCGTTTCTAGAATTTTAAAAGCCATTGTAAACTGATAAGCAAGTGAGACTCGATAAAGGTGGTACGAATAAGTTTCAATCAGGTTTCGGGAGGAATTATTTGGCAGTGAGTGGGTGTGCCCCAGTGATTCGGTTGGATATGGCAAGATGAAAATGGAACATGTCCCCACATTGTACGCCAGCTTATATTTAGGGTTATCATCTTCTATGTTCCCACATAGATTAGCTTGGGTTTTCTTTGATTGTACCAACGAAACCGTTTCCTGAATTGGTCACTGTTCGGAGCTCATGTGTTCTCTTTAAGTTGCAAATGTAAACCAAAAAGTTCTTGGAGGAAGGGGGGGGGGGGGGGGGTGGGGGGATTACCTACGTATCATTGCTTATTTTCCATACGATCTTTTTATTATAATTTTGCAATGAACGTAGAGGATTGTAGCTTTTATTACCTACTAGTGAAGCACAAGCTTGCAAAATAAATATTGGTTCGGCGGTTTGCACGTTCATCTGACCTTATTTTGTCTGCAAATAAAATTCATACTGTGGCAATATCCGTCCATAATATTTGTTGTTTGTCTTTAGCCTTGACTTAACAAAAAAAAAACGAATATTATATTGTTCACAAACTATAAACATGGGTCAGAATATGGATTGACCGTACGTGAAACTTCTGCATAATTGACAGAACAGAATTAAATATATTGTGTATCAATAAATGACACGAAATAACTTCACGCACATGGGGAAACCTAAATCAAAGGAACTACGCCCTACTCATGTTCTTCATCTCAAAATCACATTGAGGTCTGACGATAGACATTGTGAATCTTTGATTAAATTAGATTTATACCAAATTATGATACTCAAATACACGATATGATAAGAATGCGGTTGAGGGACACGTTAGCGAAAAAATTGAGTTACTAGGGGACATTTTAGCGCAGACATTATAGCCCATTTTAGTACAGGATTAATCTGTTCACCTGTATTTTCGATAGCCCATTTTAGCGCAAACCTACAATGTACCAGCTTGAATAATACTCACCGTACTAAAACCATGAAGTTAGAACAGAAATTTATGCTGGCTTAGTGTTAAATTAAGTTGTTTGCATTTACTCTTTGCACTTGGTTCATCATGGATATTAATGTTGTTGAAAACAATCAGAGGAAAGAAAAGTATTATATGTGATGGCTACCGTTATAGGATAGACAGAATATCTGACCGAATACTATGTAACTGAAGATTCTATGTTTTCAACTTAGCTTTGGGCAGAGGTTCCATGTGATTCAAAGCGAACAAGTAATGGACCAAAGTTGTTCCATGCCCATTATAATGAGTAATTTATAGTTGTCACCTAGCATTTACGATTTTCTGGATACTATCATCAAACAGCAAACAACAACATATATCAAAATAAAGAAGTATAAATGGATGTGCACCTAAATCTAGACAAGTGAAAGAGAAGGAACAGTTCCTATTGCATTTTTTTTAGCAGTATTGCACAAGAGTATATCAAGAGCCTAATACTGGTACATACGTTCTCTAGGATATAAATTCCAGGCTGAAACGGACTTTATAGACATTTAGTGCTGTATTGTAATGGAGAAATTTTTTATATTGTGCTTTTTTGATTTTTTAAAAATTTATTAATTATTATATTTATAATTTCTGTCGCTAAAATGGG